TTGCTCTATAATTTTCTTGATCGTCGCAACATACGTGTCTTCGTCGAGCACATTGGAATCCCTGTGCCGTTTCAGATTGGAAAAATCATAATCGGAATTAGCATTTTGACCCCATTTTTTAAAATTAAAATGGATGTAATGGTACTTTTTTTTTTGTGAAAATAAGTAAGTGAGAAAGAAGAAAAAAATTTCTATTTATGTGTAATATTATTTTGTAGAAGATTGTGTGATTGAAAATTAGAGAAAGAAATAAAATTTAATTTAATGAGAGCCGAACAAACTCATAAACAAGGGAACTAGTGTTAGGATTAAGGTTTTGTGGTACTTGATTGGATGGCATAGAGATGTGGCGGGGAGAGTAGCCAATAAAAAAAATTAATCATTGCTCATCCAACTTTCCTCTACATTTCTGCTTACTCACCGAACGATAAAAGATAGTCCATTGCTCATCAATCTATCCAATTGCTTACCCATTCAACACTCCAATCATCTCGTCACCTCAAGTAATGGAATTTGCCACATGACGGATAGAATTCCGACATGGCACATCACAAACTTGAAATTAGGCCAAAATGGGCTAATTTTTACAACCACCACTCCTCTTTCTTCTCTCTTCCGTCCTCATGAATGGCCTAAATTTAGTTTGTTCTTCAATCTCATCCTTAACTATTTTGGAGCATTCTCTTTAACCTTTTTAATGTGTGTCCACATCGTAATTCGTCTCGATGAGTTTTCTAGAATGCGACTATATTTTGGGTTTAAGAGTTGGATGAATTTTGCGGAATGCGACTGCATTTTCATGAAATTTCCAGTCGGAGCAAAGGCACTTTCGACAAGTACAAGTTCTCCCACCTTGATAAACTCTCAACCATGGTGCTACAAAAAGAAACTCTAGATATTTGATATATTTCTCTTTGAATAAGATCTCAATTCCAGCAACGGTTCGCATATTTTAATTCGAACTTCTCAGGATGAAATTCAAGATTTCAGTTGGGATTTTGTGGATGATTTTTAGGATTCTTCATGGATTTGGGACGAATTTTTTGGGACAATTTTTAGGGTTTTTCACGGCTTTGATGGATTGAAAGTTGGTTTCTTTTTTTGGGGCAGAGGTGGAATGGGCAAAGGAGTTGACAGTGGCATTGATGGTGGACGGATGAGAAAGGGAGGAGCTAACGGCAACGAAGAGGTGGAGGAGGAGTGTTAGTTTCTGAAAAATTGGCCATGTGGTCCGATTTTATGCATGTAATGTGCCACCTCAAACTTTCATCCGCCATAGTGGTACATTCCGTTAGTTGAGGGTGATGGACATGAGACTTGTGGATGGGACAACAATGGGATAGATGGGTGATCAATGGGTTATATTTTACTATTTAGCGATCAAGTAGTAATGTAAAATAAAGTTGGGTAAGCATTGAATAAATTTACTCGTTTAGTTCTACTGGGCTTCCTTTTTATATTTTTTATTCTCTTTCCTTTCTTCATTTGTTTCTTTACTTTACATTATTTATATGATTTTGCTCCACAAAAAAATTTGATGAGACTACACACAAAATGTTGTGATAACACAAAATTAGAATCCTTTTCATTTTCATCCATTTTTTTATAAGATGGTTTGGTTCGGTTCGATTAGTCGATTTTGACTTTTTGTCCAAAATGGATTTTTAAAAAAAATGTCCAAGTTTTGTGCCTGCTTAGATTACAATAATTAAAATAAATTTATATTATAAAAATTATTGACTAACAAATAAAATATGATAAATAGACATGGATCAACAGAAAACTTAAGAATTTTGTTATTTTTTATGCATTATGCAACCTGACTGTCTGAGTAGGAAAAAATGGTTAAGTATAATATAATGAGCTTGCAAAAGGACATTCACAGTGCTATTAGTTGCCGACGACATTATAGATTGGAAGGAATCAAGATACTATTAAAAGATTAGAGCTTATTGTTTGATTTTTATTTTTCTTTCAAAAAAAATATAAACATTAAATGGGTTAGGTTGGTGGGATTATCAACAGTTTGAGGCTTCAAACTATGATTGAATCGGCCCACCATGATTTTTTTTAAACGAAAATTAAACCAAATCAATTACTTGTGTCAAATCGATTCGAACCAACCCGAATCGATTCGGTTTGATCAATTTTTTTGCCCAGACCTAGTACCCACATCAAATATCCACAAACAGGAACTTCACTTTACAAATTAACAATTAAACTCCACAACAATCAAAATATCACCTTGCTTTGAATGTCAAAAGTAGCTAGGTCTTCGTCTAGCCGGCAGCAAATTGCCAATCGTTTTGATCTCTTATCACCACAATATGAAAATCAATTAAACTGCTTTGCCTGAAAATGGATGAAGAAATGGTTGACATCCTCTCACATGCACGTGAGTTCCACGTAAATTAAAAAATCCAAAATAGAAAATGGGCTCCGTCATTTTGAGGGTCTGTCACCCTCTCAGTCAGCCATTTTCGATCACTGTAGCATGATTGTATAAAAATTAGTTTACTATTAAACCTACATACAACTGATAATTGTATTTTATACACTTATTCGGTACTTTAAATAGTGATATTTGATGGTTCTTTCGAAAAATTGTATCCTCAATGTTTGTATTTTATGTTTAATAGGTAAAATTTTATAAAGGAAAAGGATTTGAAGGAAAGAAGCAAAAGTAGGAGAAAATGGCTAAATTATATGAAATCCAAAGTTCAGGGATTAAAGTGAAAATATTCAAAAGTTGTGTCGAACCTCAAGATGAAGATTCAAGAGCGTTGGAAGTCAATTGGATGAAGAAAGATGTCAAATGGATCAAATTTAGGCAAAATATGATCACAAATCAATTTCCAACCGAAAAGCTATGCTCCAGAATTTTAAGTTCACATTAAGACCCCTTTTTAACATAGAAAACAATCGAATCGGAGAATTATGTTTGAAGCAAAATTGTAACCCTTTGAGAGAGCTTTCTAACGCATCTTGAATCGCCTCAATTGGATATTGGGAGAGAAAGTTATGCTAAAAAATTGAAAGAGGTGTGTACTGTCTGTTCGAAAAGGTGCACTGCGGCGCCAGGAGATTCAGAGATGTGGCACCGTGAGGCGCTACAGTGTCACCACCCATTTTTTGACACGGCGCTGCGACGCTGCATTCTAGGCGCCGTATCCCAGATGCGTTAGGGCACAATTTCAGCCCGTTTTTGAGTCCATATGAAAACCCTAATCTTCCAACACGGCAAGGGACCTATAAATACGAGATTTCTCACACTTTAAAGGGGTTCCACACATATTCTAGAGGCAAGAACACTTATTGAGAAAAAGGGAGAGAGATTCTAAAGGGAGAAGACAACGCCAAATATAGATTCAAAGGGAGAAGACAACGCCGAATCCATCGTGTGAAGCATAAATTGGAAGAAGGAGGAACTCTAGGTGCAAGATCTACTTTTTCTTCTACATTCTCTTATTAAAAATCTGGTGATGCATTCTAAAACAATTTGTTTGTGCTCTTCTTTTATTATGCGTAGCTAAATCTATTGTTAGGGTGAATAATGTAACCCATTTCTTATTAAGATTCTTGGTCTTTAATTCTTCCATGCATTGATTTTTGCTATGGATTGATTGCATTAAATTATCTGATCAATAAGTTGATGAATTTTGTGAATCCTTTACAAATAGAGATATGAGTTTAGGATTTAGACCATATAGTAAAATTCATTACATTGGTATAACAAGTAGAGATACCTATGCCATTTATTGCGGTCATAATTGAATTCCTAGGACAAAGAAATCGTTTAACTAAGTTAAATTTGCATAGAGATATGGAATTTAATTAGTTGAATAGACTCAATGAAAAATCGAGATGGGTAAATTGAATACAATAGGAGAATTTGACCGAACACTACATTAGAATTGAGTCTTAATTTGAGATATAAAGGTGATCAATGGGTGAAATTATTTTGTCATAACGTCCTTTAATTATTTGATTTTACAAAAAAAAAAAAAAGAGAAAAAAAGTTGTGAGCATTCATTTATTTTCTAGAATTTAGATTAAAATCCAAATCATTCAAATCATACAACTTTTAATCTATTTCCATCAAATAGTAGTTAAAGAAATAATTGAATTACGTGCTAGAAAATAGTTCTCGTGGATATGATAATTTGGATTCAAAAAGTCTACTTTACTACTTGTTATGATCTGTCTACTCGCGAGATAAAATCGACAACAAGTTTTTAACGCCATTATCAGAGACTATTTCTTTTAGTCTTAATTTTTTTTAACTATTATTTGATTTGTTTATTTTTCTTTTATTTACAAAAAAATGTGTTCGTTGTATGCTCCGTGCCAAAGGTGACAATCTTGAAACGTTTGATTTGGAGATAGAACGTACCTTCAGACGAAGACGCAAAGAACATAAACAAAAACAGCAATATCAAATGGCTGACAATTAACAAATTCCGATCCCTATTCAGTCGATTGGACAAATGGCCGTAAGAGTGGTGGCACCACCGGAACAACAGCGTGAGCGAGGGGAAATAAATGAAGGTGATTTGCCAGTATCAATGTTCCTGACACCTATAGCAACACCCATGCGCTCCAGTATCGTGTATCCAAATTTTGAGGTGAATAACTTTCAGATCAGGCCAAATTGGATTAACTTGATGAGCAATACTCTCCAATTCTACGGGTTACCTCATGAAAATCCGAACACTCATATCTCCAGATTTCTCAGGAACTGTCAGAACTTCCATGCTCCGGGAGTCAATGAAGATGCTATTAAACTATGATTATTTTCATTTACATTGAAATATACCGCATTGGAGTGGTTAGTTGCGTAGCCTCATGGGAACATTACTACATGGGAAGAACTGACCAGAAAATTCTGCAACAAATTCTTCCCACTAACCAGAGTAGCTAAAATCAGATTGGAAATTCAAACTTTTCAACAGAAAGAGAGAGAAAGCAATTACGAGGCATGAAATAGATTTAATGAGCTGATGAGAAAATGTTCAAACCATGGAATCACACTAGGAAACCAAGTGCTGTACTTCTACACTGGACTTACGCCACTGTCAAAATCTCAAGTTGATGCCTCTTCTGGTGGATTAATCATTGGGAAATCAGGGCAACAAACCATGGACCTATTTGAGTTAATTTCCACCATACATTTAATGTTCTCTTCAGAAAGAGTGGTACCACCAAAGGCAGCAGGAATGTATGAATTAGACTGCGCAACATCTATTAATGCATAGATAGCATCTTTAACAAAACGGTAGAGTTACTTGTAAAATTGCAAACACATGGAGCAAATACAATGATGGGCAGTTCAACATGTGAGAATTGTGGGAGAAATCACGCTACAGAGAGTTGCATTTCTCCAGAGGAACAAGTAAACTTTATTCAAAATAGCTCCTGTAATTTCAACTCATGTGGGAACAATTTCCAACAAGAAAGAAGACCAAGTTTGGGGGAGATGTTTCAACAATATTTGCAGAAGGTGGATAAGATGTTCCAGCAAATTGACACGAACTTTCAAAATCAGCAGGCATCTATCAAGAAACTAGAGACACAAATTGGTCAGATTGCTCAACAACTTGCAGAACGTCCACAAGGGACTTTGCCAAGCAATACAATGATAAATCCTAAGGAACAAGTGATGACAATTAAAATAGTGGATAACGATCTACTGAGGGTCCCCGTGAAAGTTACAGCATATGTACCTCCACTTTCGTTTCCCCAAAGACTTCGAAAGAAGTTGATGGAGAAAAATATTCATGTCATAAATACAAAGAGCGAGGTACAATCGCCAGAGATCACTACAGAGAGACCCAAAAGAAAAGATGACCAGGAAGTGATTGATGAAGCTACAAGGGTAGAAAAATTTGCACCAAATACAAATGAAAATGGAGAAAGTATAGAAATGCTGCCAAAACACCAAGTCTAGACAAAACTTATACACCTCCTATTCCCTTTCCTCAAAAGCTCAAGAAAAACAAACAAGACACAAATTATGAAAAATTCCTTAATGTTCTCAAGAAGCTTCAGATCAATGTTCCATTCATTGATGTGATACTACAAATTTCAAGCTATACAAAGTTTTTGAAAGAGATGTTGACAAAGAAAAGAAAGCTTCCGAAATTTGAAACTGTGACATTAACTGAAGAAAGTAGTGCAAGAGTCTAGAGAAAATTTCCTCCTAAATTGAAGGATCCAGGGAGTTTACTTTACCAATTTCAATTGAAAATTCCTGTTCAATTGTGTGACACTGGTGCTAGTCTCAATCTAATGTCGTATTCTGCTTATAGGAAATTGGGACTAGGTGAAGTCAACTCAACATCAATAACGCTACAAATAGCTGATAGAACAATCGCAAGGCCATGTGGCAAAATTGAGGATGTACTCGTAAAAGCAGGAAATTTAATATTTCCTGTGAATTTCATTGTATTGGACATACCAGAAGATTGAGACATTCCAATTATATTAGGTCGGCCATTCTTAGCAACAGAATGAACCCTTATTGATATGGAGAAGGAAGAACTAATCTTGAGAGTGGAAGACAAGCAGGAGATATTCAATATTTACATCCAATATGAGAAATCTCCTAATAAAAATGATTGCTGTAGAATTGATAAAAAAGATCCACCTGATCAATGAAGCTGTCAGAACTAGAAACCAAATTTTAGGAAACTTCTTGGTAGAGATGAGAATGGACAAATCAAAATATGGAGAGCAAAAAAGGGCTGCATAAATAAAAATTGCACAAAATATAATGATGGAATAACTTGGTTTGAGCCACTATGATAAATCAGCGGCACAAATCAAGCTAATGAATTAAAAGAAGCGCTTCTTGGGAGACAACCCAAGCTTTTATTTTATTTATTTTGTTTTCAAAGTTCTAGGATATTTTAATTTATAGTTTATGCAGAAATCATCACCCATACCCCTTTTTATCCATAGGTCTTTAAATAATTAAGTTGGTTATTAGATGTTTAAGCTAAGTAACTCTTGTTCCATGAGTTTAATTCTTCAGGAACATGACATCGTGGAACACTCAAACCAATATGGACATGGAGAAAATGGGACAAATCTCAAGTTCGAGGGAGAATGTTGAAGAAGAATCGATCAAATACAACACCAAGGCACCACAACATCATAGGCAATATGAACATTTCAGGGAAGCCTCCTTATTTTCCTTTAAATTTCACATTCAGGATAATGTTTAGCTTAAGTTTGGGGGTGTATTATTAATTGCTTAATTGCCCACCTAAAATTTTTTTGAGTGAGTTGGATATTTTGGCTTACAATTACATTTTACTTTGAGATTTGGAGTTTATTTATAACTTGTGGATAGGATGCATGCTAGATTGATTGAAACTTAACCTTGCAAAACTTGATATTATGCGTACACTAGAATTGAGTCTAACACTGTGATGAAACAAGTTGATTCATTTGTTAGATATGTTGATTTAATTGGACATAGATGCTTGACCTAAACCATAAATTATTAATTATCCTTAGACCAAATTTAGCACAGTTGGGGGGTGATTTTACAGTTGTATGAAGATGCGGATGTGAATATGGATTCTATGTGTGAAGATTTCTGTGTGGATTGTCTTAGACTAACATGATAAAACGAGGCGAAAGTTTTAAGCTGGAGATTAGTTTGTTTGAATAAGTGTATAAAATGGACATTGCACTAATCAAGGCATATACTTTTGAAATCTAAAAGTTTCTCTTTGAAATCTTCATGACTTGAGTAATTAAGCCTATAAGGGTACCTTAAAACCTGGTGATCTAAAGTTGTCTGACTTGGGAGTCATCGGCCTAAAGCTCGCTACATGGGTCATTTAGAAGGCAATAAAAGATGAAGCTACACTTGAAACAAAAATTGGTTCTCTTCGAACCCTTTTTGACTCAAGTCAGTAAGCCTGTAAGGGTGTTTAAAACCTGGTGCCCTAAAATCATTTGATTTGAGAGTCATCGGCCTAAGCCTGCTACAAGGGTCATCTAGAAAGTTTAATGGAGAGAATGCAAATTAATAATAAATAAATAAATAAATAATTGTGAAAATAAGAAAAAGCAAGTGCATGAAAAGAGCAATAGCACTAAAGACATTGGTTAAGCCCAACACTTATTTGATGGAAATTGACTTTCAATGAAAGATAATTAGTTAGTCGAGTTGTGGCGGTCGAAACAATCATATAATTGGAGAATCCCTGTTCACTGAAGTGTTGACTTGCAACTAGTAACATCCACCTAAACTCGAGAGGGTGAGGATAATAATGAAATATTCAACCTTAGATTACACATTGGAAAAGAGTGAAAAAGAACAAGTTTGAGGGTGTGTAAATCTTACGAGTGATGAGAGAATTGGAACAACTTGTGAATTTATTAATGTCTACTTAATTCTTCATGCACACACGTCGATTTTGCATTGGAAGAGTGAATATTAGTTTGGTGTTGTAACTTTGAAGTATGTTTATGGAATTAACACGTAAATCTTGAATCCTGAGATGAAAAGCTAGATTGTCCAACCAAATATTTTTGCATGATTGTGTATTTACTGCTATTTAGTTTATAGTTTTGTTTGAGGACAAACAAATGTTTAAATTTTGGGGTATTTGATAATTGTATTTTATACACTTATTCGGTACCTTAAATAGCAATATTTGATGGTTCTTTCGACAAATTATATCCTAAATGTTTGTATTTTATGTTTAATAGGTAAAAAATTTTAAGGAAAAGGATTTGAAGGAAAGAAGCAAAAGTAGGCAAACTTGGAGAAAATGGCTAAATTGTATGAAATCCAAAGTTCGGGGACTAAAGTGAAATTATTCAAAAGTTGTGTCGAATCTCAAGATGAAGATTCAAGAGCGTTGGGAGTTAGTTTGATGAAGAAAGATGTCAAAGGGATTAAATTTAGGCAAAATATGATCATAAATCAATTTCCAACCGAAAAGCAATGCTCCGAAATTTTAGGCTCATATTAAGACCCCTTTTTGACATAGAAAACAATCGGAGAATTATGTTTGAAGCAAAATTGTAACCCTTTGAGAGAGCTTTCCAACGCATCTTGAATCGCCTCAATTGGATATTGGAAGAGAAAGTTATGCTAAAAAATTGAAAGAGGTGTGTACTGTCTGTTCAAAAAGTGGCGCCCCGACGCCACTTCAGGGCGCTGCGGCACCAGGAGATTCGGAGAGGTGGCGCCATGGCGCTATAGTGCCACCACCTATTTTTTGACGCTGCGCTGCGACGCCGCATTCCAGGCGTTGCATCCCAGATGCATTAGGGCGCAATTTTAGCCCCTTTTTGAGTCCATATGAAAACCATATTCTTCCAACACGGCAAGGGACCTATAAATACGAGATTTCTCACACTTTAAAGGGGTTCCACACATATTCTAGAGGCAAGAACACTTATTGAGAAAAAGGGGAAGAGATTCAAAAGGGAGAACACAACGCCAAATAGAGATTCAAAGGGAGAAGAGAACGCCAAATCCATCGTATGAAGCATAAATTGGAAGAAGGAGGAACTCTTGGTGCAAGATCTACTTTTTCTTCTATGTTCTCTTATTAAAAATCTGGTGATGCATTCTAAGACAATTGGTTTGTACTCTTCTTTTATTATGCGTAGCTAAATCCATTGTTATGATGAATAATGTAACCCATTTGAGATCCTTTATATTTTCTTATTAAAATTCTTGGTTTTTAATTCTTCCATGCGTTGATTTTTGCTATGGATTGATTGCATTAAATTATCTTATCAATAATTTGATGAATTTTGTGAATCTTTTACTAATAGAAATATAAGTTTAGGATTTAGACTATGTAGTAAACTCTATTACATTGGTATAACGAGTAGAGATATCTATGTCATTTATTGCGGTCATGATTGAATTCCTAAGACAAAAAAAATGTTTAACTAAGTTAAATTTGCATAGAGATATGGAATTTAATTAGTTGAATATGCTCAATGAGAATTCGAGTGCGGTAAATTGAATACAATAGGAGAATTCGACTGAACACTACATTAGAATTGAGTCTTAATTTGAGATGTAAAGGTGATCAATGGGTGAAATTATTCTACCCTAACGTCCTTTAATTATTTGATTTAAAAAAAATTGTGTGAGCATTCATTTATTTTCTAAAATTTAGATTAAAATCCAAATCATACAACTTGTAATCTGTTTCCATCAAATAGTAGTTAAAGAAACAATTGAATTACGTGCTAGAAAATAGTCTTCTTGGGAACGATAATTCGAACTCAAAAGGTCTACTTTACTACTTGTTATGATCCGTTCACTTGCGAGATAAAATCGACAACAACAACCATAAAAAGTTGGTCTATGTAGAAGACACATGACAACGTAAACATGCCATTCTACCCCTATCAACGAATTTAAGACTACTTTCACCAGCACGCTTTTAAAAAAAAATCATTACACTTCTATCATAATTTTTATGGGTTTATTTTTAAATTGTTGCTTTTAATTAATTACTCCCCCACTGAAATTGGCTTCGCTTCTGGTTCTCATTGTATTGTGCTGTTTAATTTAGACGTTATTAACTAAGAACTAACATTGAAAATTGACTTGATAATTTGAATTCATAAAAGAAATTGGATTACATTGCGTGTGGTTCCTCTATATCTAGGACACCATGATAAATCAACGTAAATCGTAGTTTCAAAATTCTTAACTATGTACTTTATATTTTTCGTACTTATGGAACGTATTCTAGTCGTGAAAATCATTCCATTTCAGAGGCAACAGCAAAACGAAAAGTGAAGGAATTCTTATTTATTTTTTATAACTTTACTTTCTAAAATTAACTTGCAGACGGACCACAAGTTATTTTTACAAAATAAATTATTGTTTTGAGTCCTTTGCATTTCGATAGCTAACATTAGCTAATCTATACACATGAATTGCATTTCTTTTAGAGATCTTTGAAAGACATCAGTTGAGCCTACGGTATCCCAGCCAACACATCTCAAGACTGAGTTTAACATTTTTTTTTTTTTTTTAATCTTACTATAAAGTAAGCTTGCTGCTAGAACAATATGCCACATACATTTTATTTTATTTTATTAAAAAGAAGATCGCTCGTTATGAAAATCCATATAATTAATTTTGTAGATAATAGTTAATTATTTGTTTGTTTGATTGAACAATTTGTTCCCCCTAAATTGATTTCAGTTAAAATTTATATATACTTGATAGAATAATTGAATAAATAGTTTCCTTTGCTGTATTTCGGTTAAAAATATTTGAAAGATATATTTCCATGTAAAATGGAGTCCATATTTGGATCTGGATATGATAGATTCGTACATTTATGTTCAGTCTACTGTATAAATGCTGTTACTTTTCAATGAAAATCTGCAAATTAAACTATCAGAATATTAGTAAAGAGAAATGGATTCAAACTCAGTTTTTCCAAGGATTTCTCTACTTGTGTTTTTGTTCATCTGTGCTGCTTATAATGCTGTTAATGCAGTTAACGTTTTCAATATCAGAGATAACAATGGAATTCCAGATGGAAAAACCGATAATAGTCAGGTATATATCTTCATCTTTATGTATTCAAATATTGTTGTAGCATTTGATGGCCATTACGTACGTACGTATGGTGCAGGCCTTGTTAAGTACGTGGGAAAAAGCGTGTAAAGTCGATGGGGGTACGGTTTTAGTCCCGTCTGGTATATACTATGTGAAATCTGCACTGCTTCAAGGTCCATGCATTGGCCAAACAATTTTCAGTGTAATGGGAACTCTAATGGCTTCTGCTTCTCCACTGACCCAAGAAAGTTGGATCGAATTTAATCAAGTAGATGGCTTGTCGATTACTGGAAACGGCGTTTTTGATGGTCAAGGATCGTCGACTTGGGCTCATAATGGCAATCACAATGCTAAGGCTTCTTCTACTTGTACTGCTGTAAGTTATTTCTCCAATAACGTATAATAGTTTTGATACAATAATGGGCTCGGTGATAGGGTTAAAAAATAGAGAAACATACGACGCAATATTATTTGACAGTTAAGAAAAAACCCATACAGGTGTTGCCAATGCAACATTTATAGAAGCCTATGTTTTTAAACCCTGGTTGAGTAGCATTATTGAATGTGTAAATGTATGAAAACGGTAACCGCATCATCTCATTTTTATACGTGTTTTCACAGTCCTTGAAATTAAAATTTGTGAGGAATTCATCGATAGAAGGGATAACTTCGAAGAATAGCGAGATGTTCCATCTCCATGTGAACAACTGTGACGGCATAGTGATTAGCCACATGTCGATATTGGCTCCAATAGACAGTCCCAATACCGATGGAATCCACGTCAGCTCGTCGAATAATGTACGTATCAGCAACGTGAACATTGCCACTGGAGATGACTGCATATCATTGGGCCCTGGAACTACAAACATCGACATTTCTGGCATTACATGTGGACCTGGCCATGGTATTAGCATTGGAAGCTTGGGAAAATACCCTGATGAGAAAGACGTTGCTGGCATTACTGTAACAAATTGCACTCTAAGCAACACTCTAAATGGAGTGAGGATCAAAACATGGGCACCGTCTCCGCCAAGCATAGTTTCCAATGTTACATTTCAGGACATTCTTTTGAAAAACGCTGATAATCCCGTCATCATCGATCAACAATATTGTCCCAGCAATTCTTGTAGCCATCAGGTACGTCTTTCTTGTGCGTTCAAATAATTCGATTTACATACGAATCTTACGAGTTACGAGTAACGAGCCATGTTTTGTGGTATATAGGGAGATTCGAGAGTTCAAATCAAAGACGTGAAGTTCGTAAACATACACGGGAGTTCATCCATTCCTGATGCAGTAAACGTCGTGTGTAGCAAAAGTATGCCGTGCCAAGGAATCGAGTTTTCGGGCCTTAACATTATTATGAATGGCAATGGGCAACCAACAACAGCTACATGCTCTAATGTCAATGCAGACTTTCTCGGAAATACAGTTCCTACACATTGTTCTTAAACATTTTCAGTTGATTTTTTTTCCACACCTATTAGATGATTTAGTTTAGTTTCCTATATTGTAATCTTATTAGAAATTTCAGAATAAGACTGATTTAGTTGAAAAATACTTCTCTCTGTATTTATGCTCATAATTTAAAATCCAATTGCATCAAAAGTTCTCAAATATGAATTAAGCCAAACGAACATAGGCTTTGACAAAATGGGTGACATAGTATTCACAACCGAGGTGTGGGTCCCATGAATAAAATAATCCCGACCTCCCCCATGTGTGTGTGCTATGTCAACCAAAGTGTCATCCTCTATGGCTATGTAGCACGATCCCTCAAATAAATAAAGATAATGCGAAGTGGGAATAACATTAACATCAATTTGTCCGAATGTGTGATCACATGTTGACAATTAAATTACAACAAATAAAAGAATATGAAAAAAAAAAAAGGAAAGAAGGAAAAAGAGGAAATCAATATAGAGTAAATATGATTGACTTGAATTAAATATGTAGACATGCAATCAACTAGCAATTAAACTCCTTAAACAGGTTGAAGACAGGAAGCAAGAAAACATGCTAATTTGGATGTTTTTGATTGGATGTGTTTTAAAAAAAAAAATCGAACTATCCAATTACTAGTCAACATGTGGCATCCCTATTTTTTACCATGTTTTCTACCTTGGATCTGTAGCATCTTTCATCACCTAATCTTACTCGATATAAGGTACCAAATATACCACAAAAATTAAATCAAAAGTCTTTAAATGAATAATGATAATTGCTCAATTGAACAAATATTCAAGAGGGGAAGAGAAAGATATTTGCAAAAATGTTACCAATTATCAATCCTACCAAAAATATACCAAATTTACTTAGAAAATTCTCGTTCGTTATAAAATAAAACCTCAAGTTTTCATTTGTTAAATAATCTCTCAGGTTAATAATTAATAATAACTGTTGTTGGCGTCACTTAACCCTTGTTTGAGCCCCATTTTTTGGGGTAGAATGAATTTTTGAATAGTGTATTGATGGAAATGTGTGGTTAAAAAATAAAGAAAATTTTTGGATTTACATGTAATATTATTTTATTGAAGAATGTGTGGTTAAAATGATGTCAAAACACTGTTGAAAAATGAATTTTTTCAAAAGAATAAAGCTCAAACAAGGGCTTAATAAGAAAAGAAATATTGAAACCATATAAAAACATCAAACTAGAAAAAATGTTATTATTTGTTCCAATGGTTTTCATAAATTTGTAAAATAACTTCTAGTCACTATTATTATGAATTCATTTCCAAATATTTGTTCCCAATGGCAATGCCTAAATGTCCTTTTGAACTTTTTCCTATTTTTTGGCTTCCTTAACAACAATATAATATCCTAAGTACTATTTTAACACTTCTAACTAAATTAATAATAAAATATTATTTATACCACTATTTCAAAAATACTTTAGCACTCAATTGATTTGAATAATTCTATTAGGAAAGACAAGATGAAAGAAATCCACTTGCGATTTCATATCAAATGAGCACTTAGAAATTTGATAGTTGTGAGGAAAATGATTTGATTGCTTATTCGACCTCCTCTTTGCAACTTTTGGAGGTTTTGATAATCTTTCACCAATATTTTGTTTGACTATCGAAGTCAAAGCAGTGGTCAATTTACCTTTCAGGAAGGCCATCTTTACACGGTAACATAGTATTTTTCGACAAATAAATAAGCAAGAAGGTGATCCAGATCTATTGTCCACTTAAATCCTCAGCTTTGAGATTAACGTATAAATGTATGGTACGATACCATTCTTCGTACTAATACTAGTTTGTTAAACGAGTATGTGTACCATATTTTGGTGCGTGTGTATTGGTCCATTAAATGAGCACAATGACCGAGTAAATATACCCAACGATAAAATCTCATTTCTAATGTTTTAGTGCACTTCAAAGTTTTGAATTTGTACATATGTATTTTAATGCTGCTATGCTATCACGGAAGGTTGGACACCCCTTTCACGGGGGTTATTTTTTGAAATTTTTTATTCACGCGGGCATGTGAGTGTAAGCCAACCAAGCGGGCAAAAAGTTCTTGGCAAGTCAGCTTAATTCTCTGTAAGCTTGGGGATGTTGGGGAAAAAGTCTCACTCTAAAATTTTCTCGATTGTCGCAACATACGTGTCCTCATCGAGCACATTGGAATCCTTGTGCCGTTTCGGATTGGGAAAATCATAATCGAAATTAGCACCTGTTTGACCCCATTTTTCCAAATTAAAATGGATGGAACGACAATTTTTTTGAAAATGAGTAGTTGAAAAAGTAGAAATTTTTTGATTTACGTGTAATATTATTTTATGGAAGATTGTGTGATTAAAAATAAGAGAGAGAAAAAATGAAATTTAATTTAATAAAGGCCAAATGGGACGTAGAAACAAGGGAACTAGTGTTAAGATTAAGGTTTTGCGGTGCTTGATTGGATGGGGTAGAGATGTGGCGGGGAGGGTGGCCAGCGAGAAAATTTAATCATTGCTCATCCAACTTTACTCTATATTACCACTTACTCATCCAACAATAAAAGATAACCCATTACTTATCAATCTATCCAATTGCTTACCCGTTCAACACTCATATCATCTCTGTCACCTCAACTAATGGAATTTGCAACATGACAGACATAAATCCAACATGACACGTCACAAACTTGAAATTAGGCCAAAATGGGCCAATTTTTACAACCACCACTCGTCTTCCTCCTCTCACCCATCCTAATGAAAGGCCTAAATTTAGTTTATTCTTCAATCTCATCCTTTCTACCTATTTTCGAGCATTCTCTTTAACCTTTTTAATGTGTGTCCACATCGTAATTTGTCTCAATGAGATTTTATGTAAAACTTCTGGATGAATTTTCTTGAATGCGGCTGTATTTTGGATTTGAGAGTTGGATGAATTTTGCTGAATGCAACTGCATTTTCATTAAATTCCAGTTGGAAGAAAGGTGCTTTCGACAAGTACAAGTTCTCCCACCTTGATAAACTCTTGACCATGGTGAATTTTGAGATGCCACATATTTTAATTCGAACTTTTAGGATGAAATTCAAGATTTTAGCTCGATTTTGTGGATGATTTTTAGGATTCTTCATGAATTTGGGGTAAATTTTCGGGATGAATTTTAGGGTTCTTCACGGCTTCGATGGATTGAAAGTTGGTTTCTTTTTTGGGGCAAAGGTGGAATGGGAGAAGGAGATGGCAGTGGCATTGGTGGTGGAAGGATGAGAAAGGGAGGAGCTAATGGCGATGGAGAGGCGGAGGAGTGGTGGTTGTAATGTTAGTTTATGCATGTAATGTGCCACCTCAAACTTTCATCCACCACAGTGGTACATTCCATTAGTTGAGGGTGACGGACATGAGACTAGTGATGGATGGGACAACAATGGGATAGATGGGTGATCAATCATATTTTATTGTTTGGCGAGCAAGTATAATGTAAAATAAGTTGGGTAAGCATTGATTAAATTTACTCGTTTAATTCTAGTGGGCTTCCTTTTTATAGTTTCTCCTTCCTTTCTTCATTTGTTTCTTCACTTTCCATTATTTATATGATTTTGCTCCACAAAATATCAAACATGAGACTGCACACAAAATGTTGTGATAACACAAAATTGGAATCCTTTTTCATTTTCATCCTTTTTTTTTATATAAGATGGTTCGGTTAGTTGATTTTGACTTTTTGTCCAAAATGAAAGTTTTGTGCCCGCTTAGATTACAAGAACTAAAATAAATTTATATTATAAAAATTATTGACTAAGAAATAAAATCTAATAAATAGAGATGGATCAACAGAAAACTTAATAATTTTGTTATTTTTTTTATGCATTATGTAGCCTGACTGCTTGAGTAGGGAAAAATGATTAAGTATAACATTATAAGCTTGTAAAAGGAAATTCGCAGTGCTATTAGTTACTGACAACATTATAGATTGGAGGGAATCAAGATACTGTTAAGAGATTAGGACTTTTTTTTTCTTTAAAAATATATATAAACATTAAGCGGATTTGGTTGACTCGATTAATCAATGGTTTGAAGTTTCAAACCATGATTGAATCGACTCACCATGATTTTTTTTAAAAGAAAAGTAAACCAAATCAATTACCTGTATCAAATCGATTCGATCGATTTTTTTTTTGCCCAGACCTAGTAGCTACATCAAATATCCACAAATAGTAGCTTCACTTTACAAATCAACAACTAAACTCCATAACAATCAAAATATCTCCTTGCTTTGAACGTCAGAAGTAGCTAGGTCCTCTTCCAGCCCCACAGCAAGTTGCCAATCGTTTTTATCTGTTATCACCATAATATGAAAATGAATTAAACTACTTTGCCTGAAAATTGATGAAGAAATGGTTAACATCCTCTCATATGCACATGAGTCCCGCGTGAATTAAAAATTTCAAAATAAAAAGTGGGCCCCGTCATTGTGTCAACTGTTTTCAATCACTGTACATACAACCATAAAAAGTTGGTCTATGTAGAAGACACATGACAACGTAAACATGCCATTCTACCCCTATCAACGAATTTATGACTACTTTCGCCAGTACACTTTTTAAAAAAAAAATCATTACACTTCTATCATAATTTTTATGGGTTTATTTTTAAATTGTTGCTTTTAATTAATTACTCCCCCACTGAAACTGGCTTCGCTTCTAGTTCTCATTGTATTGTGTTGTTTAATTTAGACGTTATTAACTAAGAACCAATCTTGAAAATTGACTCGATAATTTGAATTCATAAAAGAACTTGGATTACATTGCGTGGGTTCCTCTATATCTAGGACACCATGATAAATAAACGTAAATTGTGATTTCAAAATTCATATCTATGTACTTTCTATTTTTCGTACTTATGGAACGTATTCTACTTGTGAAAACCATTGCATTTCATAGGCAATAACAAACGAAAAGTGAAGGAATTATTATTTATTTTTTATAACATTACTTTCTAAAATTAACTTGC